CTTCATATCGTAATAGAAATGTACTTAAATTACGTGTTGAAATATATGTAATAAAATATTTCGAAATCCTAACTCAAGAGTTTTGTAAGTTATTGCATGCACATATTTTCGTAGAATATTTTATTAATTTATCTATCCTAGGTAGCCTCTGTATCGGCTTCATCTCATATATTCATGTTTATGTAAACTACTTAAATCTGCGCTCTTGGGAAAAAATACTTTCACTATATATGTGATTTTATGTTACAAGACAACGTACGGTACTGAGTTCTTCGGTACGATAACAGGTCAGGTAAGGTAACAAAAATCGCCCCTTTGATATTACCTGACGCAAACTGTCATCCTAATAATAATTCTATTGTTTGTAAATATTTTTTTCCTTTGTAGAGGATAGGCTGTTCCTGAAAGTACTGCAATATCAGGGCAACCCGTGGCCAGGACGGAGGAAGCTCCTACTCCATGGCCTAATTCTAAAAATCAGTTTAATATTCGAAGCTACTCAATGAGCAGCGTTTCAGATATTAAGCTGAAAAGAACAGATATTACACATGATCTTAGCCAAAAGGCCGAGAAGCGATGCTGGAATAATAGTACCAATGCTATTAATATAAAACAACAGAACGCTAGAATATTGGTGTTGGAAATGCTCTTCACTTCATATCGTAATAGAAATGTACTTAAATTACGTGTTGAAATATATGTAATAAAATATTTCGAAATCCTAACTCAAGAGTTTTGTAAGTTATTGCATGCACATATTTTCGTAGGTTATTTTATTAATTTATCTATCCTAGGTAGCCTCTGTATCGGCTTCATCTCATATATTCATGTTTATGTAAAATAGTTAAAATCTGCGCTCTTGGAAAAAAAATACTTTCGCTACTGTATATATGTGATATTATAATGTAAGAAAACGTACTGAGTTCGGTACGAAAACAGGTCAGGTTAAAGTAAAAAAGAAAAATCACTTATTACCTGACGCAAACTGTCATCCTAATAATAATTCTATCGTTTGTAAATATTTTTCCTCTGTAGAGGATGGGCTGTTCGTGAAAGAACTGCAATATGAGGGCAACCCGTGGCCAGGACGAAGCAAGCTCCTATTCCGTTGCCTAATTCTAAAAATCAGTTTAATATTCAAAGCTACTGAATGAGCAGCGTTTCAGATAATTAGCTGAAAAGAGCAGATATTACAAATGATTTTAGCCAAAAGGCCAAGAGGCGATGCTGTTAATGTTATGCTATTATTATAAAACAACAGTACGCTAGAATATTGGTGTTGGAAATGCTCTTCACTTTATATCGTAATAGAAATGTATTTAAATTACGTGTTGAAATATATGTAGGGTAAAAAAATCACTCCTATGATATTACCTGACGCAAACTGTCGTCCTAATAATAATTCTATCGTTTATAAATATTACAAGAAACAACCTTGCTTTCTTCGATTATTATCGCAAACATTTGCAAGGTAATGAGAATCAATTATATAGTTACAGAATTTTTAATTAATTGTTCATTTGAATTTAATTATGAAAAATCAAATGTAATGGCTATTAATAAAACTGAAAAAAAAGTATAGTCTTGGTATATGGTAAGATTTCTCTCTGTACAAAATACAAATATCTTAGGACAGTGTACCTAAATATAACTCTTTATCACATAGCATGCAAGAAATATGAAAAAAGAATCGTTTTATTGATGGAGACATCTTATAGACTAGGCCTAAACTTGCTATACCATGCTTAAATTATGCATGATGTGTCCAATCCGACCCAGGTATGGAGAAACTTGAAAGTTTAGAAACACTTATGTCCAGATATACAACGGAAAGCAACGGCACCAATCCCACATAGGGAGCTCTGATTTATTAAATAATCACTTTAATACCAGGACGTCATGCTGGTTAGAAAAAATTGAACACATATTTTTTTTAAGATTACAGCAAACCATCTACACTACCTAAAGCTCTGTCAACAATATTAAATTTTATGTGACAAATTAATGTGATATGCCTATATTTGGGTATAATATAACATCATTATGTACAAATATGGGCGTATCACACAAATTGTTCACATAATTTGAATAGCGTGGACAATCGAGTGTTAAGTTTCTATCAAGATTGTAAAATATTGAGCAGATGGCCTGAACTCACATTCGATGCTTCACTGTACTGAAGAAGACATGACATACATTGCACAATGCTTCTCTATTGTAGAAACTCATGAAACAACTGTAGAATTGCTGAATTACTTGTTCATAAAAACACGTGCCTGATTAATCGTCCGGCAAAAAACTTTTTATCACGCAAGTTCAAGAAATATGAAAAAATAAACTTTATTATATCAATCAGTGATGAGCAAAATTATTTTAATCATTTTATTGATGGATATATTTTATGGAGTACACATGCTATACCATGCTTAATTTATGCTTGTATGATGGGTCAATTGCGACACAGGTATGGAACACTTATGGCCAGATATATACATTAAAAGCAAGTTGCACGGCACCAAACCCATAGGTGCTCTGATTGGAGTTTCAGGATGGCAAACCATCTCTACTACCTAACGCTCTTTCCACATTATACACTTTATGTGATATGCTCATATTTGGGTGTGATATGCCCATATTTGGGTGTAATATGACAGCATTATTTACATATATGGGCATATCACACAAATTTGTCAAATAAAATTTAATAGCATGGACATACCTTATTAACAAAAACTTTTTATCGCAAATGTAAAATATAAAATGCATGACCTGAACTCCTTATTCTATGATTCAATGTATGGACAAGAACTGACGAAAACACGACATACATAACAGTTCCATTCAACTCTAAAAACTGTTGAAACAACTTTGGAATGGCTGAATTATTTGCCTATAATACATTATATTAGTCGGGATAATGGACAAAGTTCTGCCGACGTCCCCTCCTCATCAAACATTTAGTATTGATATAGTGTTGTTACAAAAAAAAAATGTCTATGGTGTGGGCCCTCAGCAGCTATTCTAAACGGCGAGATTTTAGCGCAAAGGTCCATTCCCCTGTGTTTCTTGCTTTGTTTTTGTTCTGTCCCTTTTGTTTTGGGCAGCCAGCCACAAGCTTTTGCCACTCAAACTTGTTTTCAAGAAAGTGTTTTATTTTGTATTATCAATTTTTTGAGAAATAAATGTTCTTTTCAACTTTTGAAGACATTCAGTCTATAATAAAACAAATAAACAAACAAACAAAAATACCAATCTAATTTTATATTGTTAATGGGTTCAACATCAAAGTGATGGGTGCCACTGATCTGAAAGTGAACCCAATAAATCGTATCGTATTGTATCACATTGTGTTGATTATATGTCAGTAGATGGTGTTATAAATTTAACCACTGTATTTAATGTGTACTTCATATTTCATCTATCTATGAACTCTTGGGTGCTTTAAAATATTACTCAACACAAAAAAATAAAAATCATTCACAGTCAATTTTCATAATTTTAGTAGAACCATTTTGATTGAACTATTCTACTACACGTGTGAATTGTACTATAATGTATATGTACATACAAAATATGATCAAATTTAAATACTGTGTTATATTATACAAATATCGATCAGTAAAATTAGTTAATATTTTAAAAATTATGTACAAAATTTATAATTAAAGTAACTATTTGCTAAACTTGTCCAGGCTTGGGTTGGTATCCGACAATTTCATCCCAGCCCTTTCGACAGGTACTAATGACCCAGGCATGTTCATCATCATCTATATTGGAGAAAGAAGAAAGTAATATATTTATTCCTATTGGATAACTAAAAGGTTGGAGTGCATTATGTCAAAATACCAAGGGAAAAATGACAACTTCTGTCAATTAAATGTAATGATATCCACAAGTGCATTGTTAGCCCATTTTGCAGCAGTCTGATCATCAGTCTGATCACATAGAATTAGAAGTGTTTTTAGTGTCTATCACCAGTTCAGTCAGATACAGTGGCTATTACTAGTGCACCAGTCTTTATTGCCAATCTCTTGGTGATAAACAGAGGCTGACATCACTGGCGGAAATACCTCTATTATATAAGTATATGTCAAACAACAAAGCAACTCTCACACTATGAGGATCTACACTGCGATTGGTACACAACCAACACCAACCAGTATGGTTGTGGCCAAGTTGTGATACGGTTGTGATAGTGTTTGAGAAGAGCAACTTGCTCGTGACAAAGGAGAGGGTCTTTGATGGTCGCGAAGTTTTCAACGTCTTGAAAAATATATTGTGGTTAGTACTGGTCGCCAGTCCGTCCGAAGTCGCTCTTGGCCATTATTACTTTCCATCAACAAATGACACAAGGTGTTTTCAAGCATATTAAATGAACCAAGGAAGATGTTCATGCTGGAGGTCATTCTATGATGTACAATCACACGGCTACATCGTGATAGTGTGAGAGGGGCTACGATCGAAGGGCAGGTCCTACTTCCGGTCGGTAGGGTCACAGTGCTAGGTCAAGATAGTGTCAGAGTGGCTTAAAACCCTATTATTGATAGTCATGGATAGAAAGAAAGGAAGTGTAAATCAGGTAAGGGGGAGCAAATAGAAAAAAGAAGCAGTGAATGATGGAAGAGAATAGGAAGAAGTGGCCCATAAAAAACATCAATAAAGCAGTAAACCTAGTATCAGAAACATCATAAATTAACTTTACATTGACAAATATAAGCAATCCTCTATCTTTTAGCAACATAAACAGTAAACAGTAAAATATTTAGCATAGGAGATATGAAATTGTGCCTCATGATTAGAGGTTTTAATTAATTTTAACATGGTTTTATTTTTTTAAATGTTAATGAAAACTGTTAAAATTTGTATTTCCTACAAAAGCACATTTTTTTTTTACAAATAATTCTAGAAAAAGCAGACTTGGCGATGACTATTAAAACTCACCAGCATTCCTTAGAAACTTGTGATTGTAATCTACAATGACTCTTGTATTAGGATTATAAAAGCCATCACCAGTGTCATAGCATCCCTCAGGGATCTCCTTCGGTGGTACATGGTCCGTCAACTGAGACCGCCCTAAAAAAATCATGATGATAATCAATTAGTTAGCTGCTCATCTGCCTTTCTATTTGTCACTTGTTGTTGTGAACAGATAATCTGTATCCTTTATAACCATTAAAAAAAACATTATTTTAAACAACAAATGGTGCTTTACTGTAAAACCTCTAATTGAAGTCCTGGGCTTCTTTTTTTTTTTTTTGAAAAACTTTGGTTGGGCTTCTGTTTGAGACCACATTCGCAAAGTAAAGAGGGGTTCTTTTCAAAATGAATGCTGTAAATTTTGTGAATTTGTACTATAAAACAGCAAGACCATTGTAACATTCTCGGTATGTCACTGTTATTTATTATTATTATTTATTATTATTATTATTATTATTATTATTATTATTATTATTATTATTATTACAGTATTATTATTATTATCATCATTAATATACCTTGATTCACTTTTTTATCCCTGCTTTTATGATGTGATGTACCTGTGATTTCCTGTTATTTATTTAACTCAGTTTTGTAATTCAGAATTATTTCTGCAAGATACTGTTTTATGTACAAATTATTTGAATAAGAGATACTGTAAATATATACATGTATAACACTGTATCATGAAATGTATTTAAATGGCATTAAATCACCTGCTGTATAAAACAAGCTTGTTTGAAAAGAAGCTCTTCTTTACTTTTCAAAAGTAGCCTCGAACAGAATTATTATCATCATTATTATACCTTGATTCACTTTTTTATCACTGCTGTTATGATGTGATGTATCTGTGATTTCCTATTATTTTTTTTAACTCAGTTTTGTAATTTAGATTTACTTCTGCAAGATACTGTTTTATGTACAAATTATTTGAATAAAAGATACTGTAATAAGTGTATCATAAAGTATCTTTAAATGGCATTAAATCACCTAAACTACTGTATAAACCAAGCTTGTTTTTAATTTATTTTGTTTTCTGAAATTCATTTACAGTATTTGTACTGTACTATCTCAAAAAGAAGCCTATGCTATCTTGATTTTGAGGCTAATTTTGCAAACTAAAGAGGGAGGCTTCATTTCGAGATGGGCTTCATCTCGAGATTAAGCCCACTGGGATTCAATTTGAGGTTTTACAGTATACTCTTATAGAATTCCCAAAGAGCTGAGTAAGTGTTCTCTAGATGTTTGACTCAATGACCTGGGGAACATGTGAAGTGCTTAGAGGTCTTGTTGGCATGTTTTGGTATAGTAGCAGAAGCGGCTTGGCACAATAGTTGCTGTTCTGCTTCTCAATCTTGAGGTCGGAGGTTTAATCCCTCACCGTGCATTTTGCCTGTGATGTCCTTTGGCAATTGGCACTTTACATACAGCTGTCTCCCTCCAACTTCCTCCAATGAAGGAAGCGCTGATTACTAGCTGCAACATTATGGAATTCTTCCCAGGCAGCGGATTATGTGTTCCATACCTGTATGTGTTTGATCCAATGCCCGGAGGTAATAATATGAAGTGCTTAGGGGCCTTGTAGCATGTAGCGCTAAATAAATATGTATACATATTATTTTATTATTTTATGATATATAATTACAAATAGTTAATTGTTTCAATTTATTTATTCATTTATTTATTTGAACATACACCTTTGAATCTGTGTCACTCAATATCAATTGGTGCATTCGTACAAACAAACAAAAAGGGTAAAATTTAACAAACAAAATAAAAAACAATCGACTGTATATAATATTACAAAATTAAAGAAAGGTAGAAAAATAACATATGAAATTAGATGAGATCACATTTTAATGCATTCCCTTATGTTACTCAGTAACATATTTATTCTATTAATCTTGTTCCAGAATAACAGGGACATTATTATTGATTCATCAAACATGCTAATCTTACCTGCTGGTTTTAGGCCTTTGCATATTTCTGTGTAGAACCGTCGATCATAACCATCACAGTACAGCCATTCAGGTTCATCATACTGCAAGCCATCAACAAACGTATACTTTCCCTAAATATAATAGAATAAATTACAAATTTATTATTAATGAGCAAGATGAAAATTTAACAATCAATTAATATGGTTTTATAATGTTAAACACAATGGATTATTAATATTTATAATACAGTCATTCCAGGCAGCTTGTCCAGTGGTATCGTGGACATCTAATCCATCTCAAAGCATTGTGCATTTTCCCTCAAACAACTGTAATGTCCCAACAGATGCACTCAACGAAATTGGTGGTGGTGATGGTTTTCACTGTTAGTGGTGGTCTTGGTTAGTTATTTCTTGATTTAGTTCTTATTTCGTTTTTTCTCTCTTTTCTGTTTATGTTAAGCACATTATTATTATTATTATTATTATTATTATTATTATTATTATTATTATTATTATTATTATTGTTTCATTCAGGTTGGGTATTTACGAAATTCCTGGATCCGCCCCACTTAATATGCCTGGTACGGAGGATTCCATCTTTTTTTAGGTTAGTTCCCAAAAGGAAACTGGCATATATTGGTTCATTCAAGTATTCACAAAATAGACTATAATAATAATAATAATATTGTTTAAACATGGGATTAATGATGGCCTACTAATAATAATGCTTACCTCCACTGCAATCCCATTTTCCCATGTTGCCTCATACTTGCTTCCATTGGGAAAGAATAACGTGCCTTTTCCATGGAACATTCCATCCTTCATTTCACCATCATATTTTGTATCAGTTGGAAAGGTATACTTGCCATTTCCTTCCATTCTATATAATTTATAAAGCAAATACTATAAAATAGTAAAATTTATTTGTAATCATAATTTTATGTTAATAATGTAATGCCATCTGTTTTGGCAGAGAATAATTTTGGCCACGATGTATTTGGTCATTTATGTATTTAACAAGGGAGTGACTATTCAACCGGCAGCTGTATTACTATGTGAGAGGTTATTTTTAAGGTTAGCCTATTCAGGCCACTCAGTTCACAGCTCTGTTCATGCCCCATTGAGCCGCGTCAGTGTCTCGTTGTCCCAAACCCAGCCCCATGTGGTCATGATTATTAGGTATTATTTATAACATATTTAATCCAGACGCCTTTAGTGCTGATCGTATTGAATTTATTGTTAGAGGTTATTTTTAATATTGTCAAATAACTACTGACTGTGTTTGCCATTTATCAATACATAGCCACACCACTGCTAAATATGTAACTAAACCGAAATAAACAGCTAAAGTATAGCTAATTTTAATCGGAAGAGGTCAGCTAAAAACTATTAGTATTAAACAGGAAATTCGCAAAGTTAATTAAATGTTCTGAAAAAATACTCGAAATGGCATCCACTCTTATTGACTGGTTTCGTTTAGAACAATTACACTTGTTTCTTGTATATTATGCCTGGCCTAGGCTAGGCTTCCCTTGGCGATTTGACACATTATGTCACATCATAGGCCTAGGCATAGGCCCAGTAGGCTAGGCCCTCTTCTAGCGGGGCCTGGCATTAGGCCTAGCCTAGGCTAGGGCCTAGGCATGCCATATAGCTGCATAGGCCTAGGGCCTAGGCCTAGCCTAGACTTGGCTGTATCTTATTCATTGTATTCGGTAAATTAAAACACCATATCTTCAATTTTATCGGTATATTGTTCATTTACCTCATTCAGACCATTTTAAAGAGTATAAAATTTCATAAACGACAATAAAGATGTATTTACCGTCCATTGTTGTGGTCCCCCTCATAGCTGCTACCCGTGTACTCCATATTGTTTACAGTTGCTCAGTTACAGAAACGTTGCCAGACATTTTAGCCTTTAAGCCCAATTTATTTCCGTCCTACAAACTTTCCGAAATTTCCATTTTCTTTCATCAGATTCAAAGTGCTCATTTTTTTTTTTGTTCATAGGCATGATTTCTTAAAGCTCGCAACAAGGTGAATCTTCATCACCAGATCTTCTTCACACGTACACGGAATGGGGACTGAGTTTTGGATTTAGTGCCAAATTTGACCAAAAAATGACAAATTTATACACATTTTTAATCAAAAAATGTATTTTATAGCTAGTCCGTCACTAGAGGATTCAATTTGAATATATTTGGTATCATATAAAAGTTAGTAAAATTATCTATCGAATGATTTATATGATGACAAATTCCCTAAATTTACACAAAGAAAAAAACCGAAAAAACCCCCATATTTTTATGATTTTTTTAGCTAAATTTAATAATACATATATTATTAAATAGATACAAAAAATACTAAGCTAATAACCTTTTCGTCTGATACTTTTTCAAAAACTGACCACATACAAAATAAAACATCTATGGCCTATACAAATTTCAGACAGTTCCATTTTGTATTTTCGGAGTATGTCAAATAGGGGCCTAGTATGTCAAATTTCCCTCAAAAAAATGCAAATTACAGTACATGTATTGCATTATAACAAACATTGGCGCAACTCAATTTTTTTAAATGTACGTACAATATACGCACATAAATACGCCTATTTAAAGAATGAGAAAGTTTACCTGACCGTTTTCAAGAGGGGGAAAACCTTGAATTTTGAAGAACTTAAAAGTCATTAAAAGACAACTCAGAAGTCTGGAAAGCTCATTTCCTGCCATCTAAGAATCAAAATTTTCACGAGGGTGGACCCCAGGACCCCCCTTTTTTCCATTTTTTATGAAAAAAGTCTGACCCCCACTAAATGTGAACCTAGATCCGCCCCTGTAAACATGTATCCTTTAATTAACCAAAAAGTCATAAAAAAATGTTTTTTCTACTCATTTTTGTGTAACATCAATATCATAATGTGTCATCATACACATAACTTGATAGATAATTTTCATAGTTGTCGTATGATAGTAAATATATTCTGATTGCTTTTTTAGTAACATACAAGCTTCAAAATACTATTTTGGGTTGGGGTAAAAAAGTGTAAAATTTGCATTTTTTGTGGGAGATAACCTTTGACATACTATAACTCCGAAGTACAAATAAAAAATGTCTTAAATTTTTAAAGGTTTTTAATTTTGCATGTGATCAATTTTTAAGAAAGTATCGGAAGAAAAGGCTGTTAGTTTAGTGTTTTTCATATATATTTAATAAAACATGTATTATTAAATATAGCCAAAAAAAAGTTTTTTTTTGGTAAATTTTGGGGAACACAATTAACATAATGTGTCATTGTACACATCATTCAATAGATAATTTTATTAGCTTTTGTATGACACTAAATATATTCAAATTGATATTTCCAGTGATGGAGTAGCTTCAAAATACGAATTTGGGTGAAAACGTGCAAAATGTGCAATTTTTTTGGTCAAATTTGGCACTTAAATCTAGCGTGGCAATAGCCCATTCCATGTGAGGCAAGAGCTGGTAATGAGGATTCACCTTCTTGCCAGCTTGTAAGAATTGATGGGCTAGGAAAAAAAATTTTAAGCACTTTTAATCTGATGGCCACCCGTCTATTCGATGAAAATTTGACATATTTCAGTATAATACTATTGATATGAAATCATGTCATGAAATTATTTATTATCAGAAATAATGAAAAAATTGAGGTAGTATAGACCCTCCATCTGTCAAAAAAGTTCCTCTCTGGGCCGGGCCTCCTCTATTTAAAAATACGAATAGCTTCAAAATACGAATTTGGGTGAAAACGTGCAAAATGTGCAATTTTTTTTTTGGTCAAATTTCGCACTTAAATCTAGCGTGGCAATAGCTCATTCCGTGTGAGGCAAGAGCTGGTAATGAGGATTCACCTTCTTGCCAGCTTGTAAGGATTCATGGGCTAGGAAAAAAAATTTTAAGCACTTTTAATCTGATGGCCACCCGTCTATTCAATGAAAATTTGACATATTTCAGTATAATACTATTGATATGAAATCATGTCATGAAATTATTTATTATCAGAAATAATGAAAAAATTGAGGTAGTATAGACCCTCCATCTGTCAAAAAAGTTCCTCTCTGGGCCGGGCCTCCTCTATTTAACATTCCTGGATCCGCCATTGTCTTGGTCTGTCCAGCCAAATGACAAACAAAAGCAAAAACTTATTAAATTCAACATTTATTCACCAATTTACATACAACAATGAACTTAAGTGAAATACTTAATGTTAAAAACACATTTAGTGGTCAAGGTGGGAAAAGAACACTCTGTTTATCAACTCAACAATAAATATAGGACCTTTAGCACAGCTTCATTTTCTCGTCGAATTGAACATTACACATTATAATTTCCTTCTGTATTTAACTTTCTTAAAACCCAATCAGTATATTGTATTATTATTATTATTATTATTATTATTATTATTATTATTATTATTATTATCATTATTATTGTATTATGAACTCTTCTATACATTTTAAATAAATATAATACAAATTCATATTTATTATTTATTTTTTTATTTATTTACAACATATTTCACTATGAATACATTTCAGTAGCATAATCCAATATAGAATTACAGTATTTTTTGTACGCACTGTTTTTCAAATGGTCCTGGAAGCGTACTGAAAATATTTACAAAAACAACTAAAAGACCTTGCAAAGATTGTGGGATTAACTAGAATTAATGAACTTTAATTTATATCGCGATCTGTAATTATTAATACTTGGGGCATTTTGAAATTCAAGAGGGAGTAAGTTCCAGCTTCTGGCACCTGCAACATTTAATGATGTGCACATTTTTTTAAGTTTAATTGGTTCAATAACAATATTAAAATATAAAAATTAAATAGAATAACAATAGATGCTTTGAAGAATTGCAAATTAATAGGCCTATATACTGGATGGATGGATTTATTTGGTGTAAACACCAAGGAATTAAACCCACAAAAGTCTAAGCAATGGGTATTGAACCGGGGACCTAAAGATCTCCACGGTTCAGCACACACAGAGTGGGTACCACAAGTTTATCCAACTGAGCTAAGCTGCTCTATACAAATTTTTACATCTTTACACTTACAGTATCAAGGTGTAAATTCTTGCATTTAAATTTCTTTTGCTTTTAAGCTCAAAATCCATATCCTTTCAGATTATTCACTTATCACTGTATAATTTATTTTAAAATTCACCATCATTATTATAATTATTTAAAAACATATTGGCATTGCCAAATTAAAGATTAATATTTCTATATAATAGATTTCATATCAACATATAATATGAATTCCAAAATAAAGAAATCTAAAGCTTTGTCTACACTATAAAATGTGATGAAACATAAGTTGAATATGTTCAACTTTTGTTGATACAGTTTGATAATATGTGATATGATGTCATCGTACCCATATATGGGCACATCACATTTTCTTGTCGCATAAAATTTGATATTGTAGACAAAGCCTAAATGAGAAATAAAGTCATACAAAATTCTTCACTTATTTTCATTTGAAACCAATGAACTCAATAATGAATTTTTTTAAAACGTGCTTACAAATTGGAACATTACAAAGTTACATACAAAATATAAAAATAAAACATCTACAAGTGATGTTAATAACAAACGATAAAAAAGTGTGTAAACACTTTCAGCCTCAAAAAAAATTAAAGAGTAAAAAAATATTATGCTTAAACATATTGGATACAATAATCTCAGCCGTAAATACACTATAGTTTTATTCATGTTAAATATCTTAAAGATAAACCCTGTGGACCTTTTCTCCTTAAGCAAGGACACAATTTGAAACCACTTATCTGGATTTATTGAAAAACTCAATCAATAAAAACAAAATAGCTATTAAAAATTTTTTTTGATGTAAAAGACTTCAACATTGAAGGCAGCTCAATAAAATCACCATAGCAATGAATGTAGGTTGACGATATGGCAACCATAAAATTTACCACACCATCTATCACATATCAGTTCTGTTTAAAAACTATAGAGCTTTCAACTAGTATAAAGGTTTGCATCAATCAATGATAAATAAATTGGATTGCAAGTCAATATTAAAAACAATTGTATTTTATATGCTTATGATTTTTATATTTGGTGTATGTGCAATGTCTTGAGGAGTCACTGTATTCTTGCAAAAGTTTGGAATGTACGAAAACATATCAATAATAATTTCTAATTTTTAAAAATCCATTGTATTATACATAGAGTAAGACTAAAAGAGGCTTGTAAGTAAACATTACAAGCCTATTTAAAAATAAAGATTCAGAAGTACTGTATATCTAAAATATGAACACAGAAACTGCAATCAATGTTTTAAAATAATTATTAACATCAGACTTTTTTGTGGTAAAGTATTTGGTTCTTGTTTAGCAACAACTGTAAAATATTTGAAGTGAACCCTAAGAATACCCCTTGTTGTCACAATACAGTGCTAATTGGAGGTAAATTGAACATCACACCAAGAGAAAATCCCCTGCATCTTCTTTTGGGCCATACCATATGTAGGCCTAAACAAAAGACAGTACACTATAATCTTTATTTCACAAGGTGAATAGACCAGATGGAGGATACCCAGGCACCCAAAGACATCTTCCTGGTAATATATGATGGTTAGGATATTTGTGAGGTCTCACCACGAAATAAGACACATCGTTGGTGAAATCATATTGAGATATTTACCAAACAGGCCAAAGTCAACATTTTTACAAAATTTTGATTTTAAAGTTTTTGAATACCTTGATACTTATATTTTATGATTGTATACTTTGTAAGTGAATTTTCTTGCCAAAACAGTGTTCTCTGCACATATTCTGTAATTCTAGTCATATTATTTGTACAATATATTTTGTACAATATATTTTGTACATATATTTGTGCTGTTACAAATACTATTTTTGGATTAAACAATTCTTAACCTACTTAAAATATAGTACACCTTCATTTTATTTCAACAATTGATTCGGAATTATACACTTGTCTTATCTGTTAAACTTGCATATTGCTACAATTCCAACTTTCAATTTGGACGGAGGTATTTTGGACTGGTAGCTAAAAAAATCTTTCATCTAACTTTTACCATCATCAAATTTATTCTTCTTGCCCACAATATCCATAAGGTTTTTATTCATGAAATACGGTTTCTCGGCTGATCCGTCATGTCTTTCCAAATCCTCCACTACAAATAAAAAAAATAAAATATTATAATATGTTAATGATGAAAATAAAATTAGTAAAACCTGATGCACACTGGTAGCCTAACATCTGACAAAGTTTTAATAACATTTGGAAAAATTAATCGGCATTATTTCAGGTTGGTTGCCAAGCATGTTTTGAAACAGAGGAAAAACAGAAGTCAGACGCACTCCCCCCTCCCACTAAAAAAAAAGGAGGTAAAAAAGGGAGAAAGAGGAGAGCATGGTACTCTGAAACAAGCTCATTTTTGATTGAAATTCCATGTACCAATGTCTATGTTCAAGCATTTCTCAACAATGTCTCAAACGCCAGTGAACTTTGCACGGCTCCCTACCCAGATTTTTCTCTGGAATTTTCCCTTTTTGTGCAATGGACAATAAAGTTTAAAGCTGTTTTTCTCAGTTGTGCTAATACACCCACTAAGTTATATATCAATCCAAAGCAAATTAATTAGAAAATATAATACCCAGTATGTACTGTAAAAAAAAAGAATAAATATTTTGCTACTTTATTCAGGTCTCGTCACATTTATTATTACAGAGTAAAGCTCATTCAGTAGAATGAATTTTAATGGTATTTTATTAGTTAACATGATATAAGTGATACTTGATAACCTTTATATTATTATTTAAAAAAAAAATAACATTGCAAATATTAAAATAATGATTACAATATCAGTATATTTTAAACAAAGTATCAGCTAATACAAATAAATAATACAGTTGTTCACAGTATCAAATATTATATAAATATACTAACTTTATAATTTAAACACACTGTTACATTAAAATGTATAATTTATATGTATTCCTATAGTTACAGTCAATATAATTTTATCAAAAACATGATTTTTGAGTTCGATGCTAACACTTACAGAAGCACAAGAAGAGGGTATCAACCGCCATATCGTACACACCAAAGAACACCTTAGCAACAACATACGACCCTATTCCAATTACCTGAAAAATAGCCAGAAACAAAATATTATTACTATGGCAACCAACAGCAGGCCATGATTTAGATAATTAGCTCCTTCTAAGATAATAAAAATGCAATTAAATTATTTTTCATGTACATCTATATGAGACTATATAAGCACTGTAGGCAATAACCAATCGGAAATGCAGAAATCGGAGTGTTCACATTTTATTTATGCATAAGATGATGAATGTTGGCTCATGATTAATCATGATCATCATTTATTTCAGGCATGTTAGATTTGAAATTAACTGATTATCAAAATTACTGTACATATACTGTAGCATTGAAGGCCTAGAATGATAATGTTTGCAAGTACTGTACACTTTATAAATGTGTAACACTAACAGCCATAAAATGTTGAAGGGCTATATGTATAAAAACTAAATCATTTATTCAATCATTCTGTCACAAAATTGCATGGTTTTAAATTAAATAGTATAAGTATTCTACAATCAGAAACTTAAAAACTAATTAGTAACTTTTGTTGCAAAGAATCACTCACTATAACTGGAGTCCAATAATAATTTAGTTCTGGTACCGGAAGGACATCTGAAATCCAGGAGATATTGTTCGTGAAGTAGAAGAACGATCCAATAGACATCGCTGTAGTAACCGTCAGGACTCCAAAGAATAATAAGAAATCAGTTATCTTATTAATCACAGCAACCCTGTAGAGAGAAAACATCAAATATACATGCTATAGTGTGTTGATAATCAAAGACTTAACATTTCTTTGATAAAGATTATCAAAGTAGTATCTTACAGGATGATAAATAGCAAATTGAATGCAATAACTCTTATTGTATGTTTTTCTTGTTATGTTCTTACCTCACAATGTTTCTGAGTAAAAGAAAGAATGCATTCTTTGCCGATGTACAGAAGTTTTTACCATATACTGCAATCTATGAAGAAAAATATTAATATTTGATATAGAAATAATGTAAATATTGTCGCTGCAACTAATCACATGATGGAAACATCAGGTATTATAACAAGAATATAAAAAAAAATAAATAAAATTACACCCAGTAAGTTATATTTGATATACAACAAAATAAATACATTAAAATAAAATAGAAAACTTTACTTCATGAAAAAAAATACACAATTTTGCGTAAAATTAAATAAATAATATAGTGATTCTCACCAGAATATAAGCGTTTTTGTTGAGAAACCTCATAAATTTCTCAAGACACCAGAAACAACACTTCAAGCACTTAATCAGGAACTTCACAAATGCATTCTCATAACCTTTCAACTTATGATCAATGTATTCCAACACGACCCTGATCATCTGAATCACAGCGATGATGAACGACCCAAAAGCCAGCGATCCAAGATGGTACCTAGAAAAAGAAACATACAATGTTTGGATTATTAGTCTCAGAATTAAATATTCAACTACATGTTTACAATTATTATTACCATAGTAAAAGCCCCTCCCCCACTTTCCCAGTATAAACCCACCTCTTACCCCTTAAGTAACCTTCATGAAAAATGTTCCACCCAGTTATAAGCACATTCCATCTTCAAATATGTGTCTCAGATACTGGTAACAATTTTGAAAACTAAGCATGAAATTAATTACATCGATATTTAGCAACAAAGTGCTATCCTTAGGCCAAGATGATACCTGGTCTGTGAAGATTAGGCTAGTCCTGTCTGCATTTTATGGCCCCTGGTATAAGCACCCTCCCAAGCACAATCCATTTTCATTTGGGTGATATTATACCCAAGAAACTACATTATCAATAATGATAATGTACTACTAGTATATATAATTAAAAGAATCTTTATAATTATATGTTATGTACTTTGACTCTTAATAAACTATAATTTTTTTTGGTCAATATTTTTCTGTTAGGGGATCATTTTGAGACAAGTTTTTAACTTTTAATTTGAATTCCAAAATCATAATTTACACCTTTTATATATTGAACACTTCCTAAAATGAGTTAAATAAATTTTTAACTGAATTGAATTATATAGTATAAGAGGAAAGAAAAATTTGAAATGTTATTAAAAGTAAGAAAAGTAAACGAAGCCACAATTTTAATAAAGATAAGGGGGAGAGAAATGTTAACACATACAGTATGCAAGCAATGCTGCATACAATTTAGCGTTGTGCAAGTATATTCTATTAATGGTTATGCACAGTACCAGAAGATGATGATGATGATGATGATGATGATGATAGTATAAATTGTCTTAATGAACATTACCGTCAACATCATTATCGTGCTCATCAAGCACTGATATCTTAATAAAGTCATTCATCATCATATCACTAGGTCTACACAATCATCATATTACTATGTATTACAGCAATGTCATCTACCATCATTTAATCATTAATCACACACCTAAATAATTCAGTTAATTTTAAACAATTTGACACTTGAGTGAGGTAAACTCACCTTATAGCCCTGTAGAATGATTTGATAACCGGAAAGGCTGGAATGTCGTTTGGTTTACTGAAGGACCAGTAGTAGGAGGCAAATGCGCCGGCCAAGCAAACCTGATCCAGCGCCGAGACAAACGCAAGTAACCAGAACAAACCAAACAGGTTATAAATCTGTAGGTACAGGAATATGTTCTCCAAACCATAGTGCTCGAATAAACACAATGCTGTTGTATTTGGGTAGTCTGTCTCGAATGTCTGAAAAATAAAGAAAATATTCACATTTTATTCATATGCTAAAAATTATCAACCAATACTAATATTACTATACCAAATAATAAAATGTGCAAGTTAAATCTTATATTTATATCTATGCTAGCTGGATCTTGATAATTTAAAATCTGCACTGACCTGAGTTAACCCTGTTTGACAGTAGTTGTAATGTATAAACAAGTCTACAATAGTTAATACAAGGGTTACGGAGCATTCAATTGCTAATGTAAAAATACAATGGTGAAATATCTACTGTATACCATCAAATTGGTCTGTTTTACATGTCTGCATATAACTAAAATAATTTATTAAAAAATTGTTATAGCTATATACCTCTACAATGCCCTATTCATAATGAAGCTCTTAATTAGTTTTATGCTATGATATTCTTGCCTATACAGTGCTATATTTATAATTATGCTGGAGCATGTTAATGACTTTTGAAGTGATAAACTTACTTCTTTTGTGCAACTTGAACCATTTGTCAAATTATAGACGTCATCCACTGGAACGCCAGCTGTGATGTAGGTAGCTGACCCAGAGCTTGCAAGATACCTAGAAGTCTGTCAAGGAAACACCAATCTCACAGACATATCTTAATATAACATTTAAAATATCAATATTATTACATCTGCTATCCCACATATGACATAACAATCTACATTTACTGGTAAGGTAGTCAGGCTATCTATAATGTATCAAGTGGTGTAAGCCAGGGTCCCAGAGATTAAGTGGCCCCGGGATATTCAACATTTCTTGCCCTACAGAGCGTTTTAACAAGCAGAACATTAAAAACCCATCAAAATGCACCTTGCAATATCTAAAACAGTGAACCAAACTGGGCCTTTCCTCTTACCCCAGTGGGCTCTACCCAGACCCAGCCCCCAAAGTAGTACAGCCCAAATGCAACTTAAGCCACAAGCCTCAAGGCTCTTGTTTCACACCACTGAATGCATCACACTGTTAACAAGAACGACAATACAATTAGAAAAGGATACAAAGCAATGGCCGCCCACAATGTGACGACAGCTATCTGCATCAGGAATGGGAATATCGGCCAGAATAATGTAGACATCATGTGGGTTATGGCTCTGAAATTAAAATAAAAAAAATTAACAATACATAGTTAGGTTTAGCATTAGGGGTATCAGAACATAGTGGAGTGATTATTGTAGACAGTATATATACCATATACATAGATTCCAGGCATCTGATTGGTTAAAAAGCGGTTAATAACTTCAAGCATCCCTCTTAAGAAGTAGGATAGTTCATAAATTTCTGGGGAAAAGTGTACTACCAATTTAAGTGATAGTATGTGCTTTTTTCCCTAATCTCTAATTCTAAAAAACCATATTGATATTAATTTATTTAATTATTGAATAACATATTCCTCTATTTGGTAATGCCATTCTGGTTGATATACTGTTTATTAATCAATGATTCATAAATTTAAAATGTGATTAGATTATAATAATTGAGGGCACCTTTGAGTCGGTTTTTAGCTGTAAGGCTACTGTCATTGAAAAAAGTTCAATAAATGAAAAAAAAAATTATTTCTTGATTGATTGATTGATTACTCAATTTATTTACTGGAGCACTTAAAAAATGACCATTTGATTTGATATTTGATTTGATTATATAATATCTCAGCTATACATACAAGCAGAAATATACAAAACAGAAAAAATACATGAAATGAAATAGAGATAGTTGAATAACTCTGTAAATCCCTATTAAGGGACATATTTCCAGAGGGGTCCATTAAATCACAAATAAGAAGAAATTAGGAATACAATTCAAGGATCTGGAAACAATTACTTCCTTCTCTTTTATTACCATATAATATATTAGCATAATGCTTGGATGAATGAGGTTTTAATGTCATGCTGTTAACAGAGGAGTCTATTATAACCATATCTATTGATTTTTCTTCAAGTCATTGACATTGCTTATCAAAAACACACAGTATTTTGTTTCATTTGGTCCATGTTGCCTTGGTGATAATAAGTCAATCAAGCAACATAATGTGTCCACTAATTAAAGTACGCCGCTGTCCAGAACGATAAGGTTTAAACGAAAGGTAATAATGATTTTCACTGGTTATTTAATGAAATTTACACCTTTGTAAATACCTTTGTACTGCCAGAATAATTACTTATAGTCATATCATGTTGATATGATGAAACACACTAATCAAAGGAGATATTTTGAAATAAATACAAGGAAGATTAAGAAGCACAACCTGACCCGCTGAGCCAAACCTGAGTGGCAATCCATGGCCTCAGCACCTCCAAAATCATGTTCACCATGGCAAGAGACAATCACTTTATTGTTTTTTTTTTAATAATGAATTTTCTTTTTGTGCTCATGTGCAAGTTTAGGTAATGGCCCTTTCCATTAAGCCCCACCTCTTTGTAATTGTTTCTAAGATCACATAAAGCAACAGTGTTAAAAATATATGCAAACACATGGGTTTGTAGGACATCACATGGGTTTGTTGGACATGCGCATATTCCTAGCACTATTTAGTTTGATTGACACACTGGAAAAGATCCATTAGTGCAGAAGTGCAATCTCCGTATGTGCGAACTTACGCGCCAGTTATTATAAAAACGGCACTTATAAAAATATTCTTTAATTAGTTTAACAGCTTAAAAGGAGCACTTAGAAGCCTTGCAGGCATGAAGCACTATAATTTAAAAATAATTATGTTACTGAGAATTGTAAAGAGTGGGAGAATTGAGATATTACCTGCTAGCCTCCTTGATCAGAGCAATTGCAATGCGAATACGATTACACAAGCAGAGGGTAATTATCAGCAGAATAACGAGGATAACGCAAAACGTAATACCTAAATTAGAACAAATAAATAATCATTGAAGTACTATGTTAAAATAATGGCAATGACTTTTCTTGGTTTAATATAGATACACATAAAATTAACTGTATGATATCAATTTATGATATAAATAATATAAGAATGACTTGTATATATAAATTGCATTTTCAATAATTTTTTTAATAATGCAAACCATGGAAATGTATTAAGAAATAATTAAAATTATTTAATAATCAGGATGAAGATCATAACAGAAGTTATTACTAAATAACAATAATAATAATAACAATAATAATAATAATAATAATAATAATAATAATAATAATAATAATAATAATAATAATAATAATAATAATGACAAGCACTAACTCAGAATTAAGGGGAATATCTTTCATGTTATTTTTCCCTTAACGTTGTTTTTTAATTGTTTTCTAATTTCTCCATTGTCTAAGTTCCCCTTAAGGTAGGTTTTAGTAACATAATAATAATAATAATAATAATAATAATAATAATAATAATGTCATATGATTGTTCATTTATGAAACACAAAACAATATTAAATACATGACCAATAAACTGTAATTGATTCTCTACCCAATCCTACCTTAAAGCACTCTTTAAAAAAAAATTATAACTATAACAATGATCAATTATGGTATGCTGGATTGTAAATATTTAAAGATACTTTACTAAACAGTACATATGTTATACACTAACTTACCAAATATGAGCCATGTTTTCTGTAAGCGTAGATAGCTACTGAGGTCGGTAGTGAATGCTATAGCAGCATCTGAGCCATCAATGTTCTCCAGTTCATAATATTGTTTCCAGCAGTAGTAAATACCTAGCGATAAGAGGTACAAAACTTCTTAGTGGCTCTTTTTAGTTTGGTACAGTGCTACGTGTGAGCCAACAACATATTTTTTAATCCACCAGAATTGACACAAACCAGCTAATAAAAATTTCCATTTTGTGTCATTTCATTTCATACTCCTTTCTGTATTTAACATAGTTCAAGTTTGATTTTGGGGCATAATTTTACATATTTTTGTTGTTTCCTTTCATCCCAAACAAGGTCCTTAAAAGCCAGTTCTCGGTAAGGGTTACTTTTTATATTATTTAATACATAAACCATTAAAAGTCTACACCTGAAAAAATAGTGTGAATCACTTCACAGTCGTCAACAATGCAAGCTGGAGTATCAAAGCCACTGGTCGAAAATAGTCAGCGTGTGGATCGTGGATGGAACACAAAAGTTCAAACCACAAAGTACCAGTTGTGCCAAAAAGCCTGTCTTAAAATAATACTATAAATTTCTCATACAAATAGGGCTAAAGATCTTTACCTAATTATTTGAAAGAACAAAAGTTGTAATATAAGTTAAAATGCTTACCCAAGCCAAGTAATGCATATGTCCCAAAGATCATAACCCACACGATGATGCCAGCAAACCAACGCATCAGAATGATGTACAGCAAAGCTACCAACATTGACACACCCATAAACCTATGGAGGAAACATAGAGTCAACATAGACACCCAAAAAATATAGAGTGAACATAGATGCACCCTGAACCTACGGAGGGGAAATATAGAGTAAATTTTGACCCAACCACAAATGAGAATAGAGTAGCACACAAAAATGACCAGAAGTAAACTATTATGAGGTAAAATATCATGATACAGAAGTTAATGTTACAAGATGAGAATCCTAGTCAATAGTGCCCAGTTAACCTACTTGCCCTAGCTGCACTCAACTAGCACCAAATTAACTTGCATTAATAGTTCAATACTTTATATTTTGATCAGTCATTGGCAGTAGTGCTTCATGGGGAAAAAAAACACTCTTCAATCCAAAGGTAAAAGGTGTTTTATTTGGGATCTATTTTCCATCAATCATGTCGTCCCTTGGTGTATTACTTTTGGAGAACTCAGGGCTGTTGGAAACACACCGGCCCCACCGACTTTGACCGAACCACCTTTTCTCAATTATTATATTAGTTTTTACATAAATATAATATATAAATACCTATAAATAGTTATTATTAATGTTTGCGTCACATTATCTTCTTTATGTTATATATTTAAACAACATTCCACCATGCGCTTGTTTTTGTATTGCCTATATACATTTCCGATGTTTTGACAATATTTAATTTTAGTAATTAAGATTTATTTCAAAAATGATTAGAGATATAAATATGAAATAAAATTAATTATTTATAACATTTGGTGGGGGGGTGGAGTCTGCCCTTTCCCCTTGATTCCAGCTTGGGCTCACTTCACTTCTATATGCATTAGTCTCCATAACTCAAACCTTGCCACCACCACATACAGTCATCCTTATCATCGGCCTCTCATCATCACCATAATTATTTCATATTGTTTCTGGGCACCCAGTTAAACAAAGTTTCCATGGAGGACCTCTGGACCCCTGCGAAACTAACCACCTTTTCACAAAAATTCTAGATCGCCCTTCAATCTTAGTGCTCTATTAGGTAGACCTGGCTTTTTCATCTGGTAGATTTGTCCATGGAGGTGTATAGATGCATGGTCTGTTTGTCATAAACAAACCGAGAATTGACTAAAATTAATGTGTAATCAGTATAATTCATAGTAGAAGTGATAGTACACCTCATTTGAATTGTTCAATGATAGTACACCTCATTTAGACCATGATAAATAATTTACTTATGCTTCAGGCCGCTCGAAATTCTACAGTACTTATTAATTTGTAGGCCTATTACCATATATAATGCATAGCATATTGCATCCTGTGTATTCATAAACCATGTTTTATTTAATTGCATATTGTCTATATTTCACCATACCCTGCAGGTTGTGTAAATATAGTCATTTGTTGTTATTTATTGTATCATTTTGTATTTATGTTGCTTGCCCATTATTTATGGAGGAATCAGCAACTCAATTCATTTAGTTATAGCACTGATAAGAAATTGAATTATGGACAAGTTATCATTCACAATATACCACATTGATTTAAAGTAGGCTGACAAAATGTGATTTGGTCATTGTTTTGAGTCATACTACTAACTATAGTACCTTAGTGTCCAGATATAACATTTTAACATTTTTTTAACCTGGGTGCTTTTCCCATTGAGTAGAGGGCATTTTGGTGAATATAAGCCCAATGTCTTACCACAAGAATAGGATACCATGTAAGGTCATACTCTTTAAAACAGTTTTCCTATGGGAGGGCCCCTAATGAACATTACAAGTCATCTATGGGGATCTCTTTGGTCTGCTGTGAACATAACAAAAGCGTGCTCCGATCAAAGTTTTTAGGCCTATGTACGGGCACTATTACTCCCATGTAATATATATTTAGGCCACAAACATTTTGTAAAAGTATGATACATACTGTTTATATTGTACTACATATTTTTATGACAATAAAGTAGCTTTTTGTATATGTATAATAAAACAATTAGTAATCAATATTCCAGTCCTTAAACCTAGACTCAGAAATACCAAAATGTTATCCAAAAGGGTACTAGTACTATGTTACTTCAAAATAATTAGGAAAACTGTGAAAACTGTGAATATAAGCCCAATGTCTTACCACAAGAATAGGATACCATGTAAGGTCATAATCTTTAAAACAGTTTCCCTAATGAACATTACATATGCTCCCTCACCCCGGTGACCAAGTCATCTATGGGGATCTCTTTGGTCTGCTGTGAACATAACAAAAGCATGCTCCGATCGAAGTTTTTAGTTAATCCCCAACTCCCACCCCTCCCCCCTCCCCACACAGTGTAAAGAAAGGTAGGCTTTAAATACTCCAAGTCTACTTTAAATTCAAGGCAATATACTTACATTAATATAAGCCACCAGGAACCCACAAAGTCTTCGAATATTACTGATCCTATTGATTGCAGTTCAAGAAAGAATTTGGCAGCCCTGAAAAATAATTTAAACAATTGATATTGATAATAGTAAGTAAGTTAATTCTGGATTTAAATTAAAATTTGCTAAAATTCATCTAAAATTGGATAACTGGATTAACCAAAAGAAAGTTAACTTCAAATTGTACTATTTAAATGTATAGAGATTGTTTATATCTGGTAGTTTAATTTACACTGTAATATTCCCCTTTTTAAATTTTTTGCTTTATAAACATTTGTGCAATTCTATTTTTGTAATAATTTTCCCGAATTTGAATTTTCCTATTTATAGTCTCTTTACTACTTTTATATTAACCATTTTTTAAAAATCTGTGCAATGTAAATTTTTGTAATTAATTTTAATGTTTTATATATATTAAATATTTTTATAAAATCACTTTTTATTGCAATTTTTTTATATTTATCTTTTTATATTACCAAATTATGTGTTTTCATTTGCAATAAAATAAAATTGAATTAAACTGAAATACACTTTATTGAGCATCACTAATATAAAGGAATATGTTTACTAGAAATTAAGTTAAGTCTTACAAAAAAGTAAGGACCTAATTGCCTTAAAGTCAGGCTCCGGAGGAAAAAAATTGTTTGATATGTTGTAGAACTGATTTTTCTAAGACAGAAAAAAGTTGCTTGACGAAAAACTGGGGAACGGTGAATGAGATACAGATTTTTTAGAAAAATCAGTTCTACAACATATCAACATTTTTTTTTCCTCAGGAGCCTGACTTTAAGATGACATTAAAAACAAATTGCAATTGATTACAAGGTAATTTAAGGGTCAAAGTTCAATACTGGTGAGGAAAATGTTTTCTAGCTATAATTGTATTGTTATTACTAATACTTAAAGGTTTAAATATACAGGTCTTCCTCCAATTAAATACCGTTTTTTGGACCGGGGTTTCCATAGCTTCAGCAGCTTTGGTCATTAGAATAATAAAGATAAAAGACATTTGTTAAAATGGGACCACAGAAAAGTGGACTTTAAATAGAGGTGGTCTTTAATTGGAAAGGTCTTTAATTAGAGGGAGATCTGTTTTTCTTTCTTATCTGTGTCAAGTACAAAGCACAAACAGGATGACATAATGATATCTTGATAGATATAAATCCCTGTGAGGTTTAGGATTGGATTAGTTTTATAGTTGTTTTAAGCCATCCATAAATGAGCAGGGTTTGAATACAGTATAGGACACCTTTGAATCGCAATGCAAGTAAAAAGTTACACAACTTCACACATTTTGATTGCAACTTACGTGCCAAACAGGTCAGCGACATTGCTTGATGTGATGTTGGAGTTGGTCGGCGTTTTCAGTGTTCCATTCACATTATCCAGCACACTGCCTATAGTAGAAACTGCCTCCAAGAGAATTGTGGGTAGACAACGGTCCGCAACTGACAATGAAATTGGTATAAGAAAATAAATTTTTCAAATTATTCAAAAAATATCATATCTCAATGAAATACAAAAATTATATTGATAGATCTGAGGGTTTTAAGTCCAAAAATACATGCCTTTGGGCAAGACACTTACATGATGTTGTCCCTCTCTACCCATAAGTATAAATAAGTACCATGTTCTAGCAGTCATGTGTGGGGAAAACTTTCTATACACCCAAGGAAAGGTTTGAATACCAGTGTATGAAGTACTAGCAGTTTTATACATTGACCAGGGATTTTAAATTCTTGATATGGCAGTTGATTGGACTCTTGATAATCATATGGTTATCAATACCAATACCAATAAAACTGTTGAAATGCTAATTAGCTGCAAATCTAATAAATCAAACTTTGAC